GTATGGCTCTGATAAGACTCTCCCAAAGAGTCTCTTGTTATCTGTAGAGGTTCGATCTTCTCTTGGGATCTTGATAGAGATGATATCGCCGATTTCGAAGTGTTGAATAGTGTGATGCTTCGTATACTTCCGCATCGGTGTTAAGGATAGGATCAACTTCAATAACAGGATCAGCTTCTGCTACTGCCGGAATTGCTGCTAGTAAAGGTGGTGTTACTCGTATATCAACATCAGAGCTTGATGAGCTTGATGAGATGTGTATAGTGATCTCGGTATTATGGGAGACCTGCGCCCGGTCTATTCGGCTGTTTGACTCGGGCGTATAGCTTCTATGTGGGCTTTCTGGCGTTGAGTCGTATATTGGTAGGTAATTCAGATCTTCTTGTTTAATTGCAATTGATGGATCCCTTCTCATTTGATTATTCAGCCAGTCCTTGTAAGATGAGCGATCTCGAAAGAGTAGTTCGGCTAGTGCGTGCTTAATTGATGAGTGTATCTGTTTATTCATCGCTAGCATGATCTCAGTAAGGCTTTCTTCCCATTGAGTTGATTGATGATCTGATTTCCATGCAGTTATCTTACTTGATACAACTCTATTCGCCTGTTCAACTAAACCTTGGGTTTGGGGCGATCTTGGGGATCCATTGATAATCTGGATACTATACTTTCGAAGTAGAATTAAGAAAGCTTCTTGGAACTCTCTACCGTTATCAACCTGTACGATCTTTGGTGGTAAGAACGCACCGATGAATTGAAGGAAGGCTTTAGCAATAGACTCGGCTTGTTTGCTTGTAAGTGCGTATAATTGCGAATATTTCGTAAAGTGATCCTTGATATGTAAGATCCATTTGAATTGGCCTGATGGTTCGTGCCGCATATCGATTAAATCAGCCTGTATTCGTTCCCAAGCTCTCTCAGATGTAATTGGCACTAATAGAGCTTTAATTGCGGATAGTCTGTTCAATGCACAGTTCTTGCATCGCTTAACCACGAAGATAACGTCTTCACGCTTAATACCGTAGTATTGAAGCTTGATTGCATCCCAAGTCTTATCTTGGCCAGTATGAAGAAGCCGGAGGTGTTCTTTCACAATGATATCAAAGACTTCGCTCTCTGGAACAACATATCTTGGATTTGGAAATCGTTGATCAGGTTGGCGATAAAGCCTCTTGCTAATAAACTCAAAATCCTCATATGCACGATACCGTAATCGTGAATCCTTACCGGGTTCTGGAACTAGATTAGATTTGTCAAGATGTACGTGTAAGCGAACCCATTTCGAGTATTCAATGCGTTCTCGGTTATTAAATTCAGATCCATGGATGAATTCGTCAAATGCTTTACGAACATCATTTGGCAATGGGTTGAATATAGTACTATCGTAATCTTCTTCCATTGTATTTGAATTACAGTAGCTATGTAGAGAGTACGAGCAAGCAAGCGTATTACACCCATCTTCCGAGTCATCCACCCTTTAACGGCTCGGAAGCCCCTCTTCTACACCGCCTTCCTTGGATGGCGTGGATCCACTTACGCCGTTCAGCGAACGGCGTAATTCGTGAATGGCGTTGAACATATTTAAAACGCCACAACAAAGCTTCGGCGCTTCGTGATTTCATTATTAACTATTCGTCGAAGGCTAATAAAGGACGGTCGATAGTGATACTACAAGTAGTACCCTTGTGTAATTATGTACTATTTAGTGTTAGCAACCTATTAGGAAGAGTAGCCTGAATTACTAGTAATCCAAGCTATAATAAAGAACTAGGTTAGTATATAAGTAGATAGTCAGGCAGGGTTAGGACAGGTCTTCAGTGATTAATCTAAGCAAGTACTTGTCACGTAGGGATAACTCCTTAACGACCGCTTAACTACTTTGTTACTACTCTTGGACTCAGTTAACGTATATGACAACCGTTCTACCGCCGATGATAGACCGCGACATAATACCCCTATATTATGCAAGCTACTTCGTTATAATATTCTCCCTACGTGTATATTCCTTGATAGCTACAACTGACAACGGTTAACCTGTCAACTGCTGTATACACTCCACCGCATGAGGACCAGCACATGTGAGACCTCCTGCACAAACCCAAGGCGCAACGCCGCTTGCGCTACATAAGACGAACTAAAGAATCTGTATTAGGAAACTGCTTATTCCACTTTGTTTGTCGGAAACAAACGGAAACAAATTGACTTGCCTGGCTTGCACAATTGCTGACAACCTTAGCACCGATACACTGGAAAAGCTTTGCGGCAGGCTTGCCCCATTTCTGAATCAATTCTGCGATTGTATGGACGCCGCCTCTAGTTACGATAGTCTGCTGCAGGTTATACTCAGTGCCAGAGACGTCGAAAGTCCGGACTAGATACTGTGTTAGTATAGCAATAGTAACAGGTTCGTAAGTAGAATAGTGGAACAAACCTCCTTCTGTAGTATCAAGCAGATAGCCCCATGAAACACCATCGATGGTGATCTCAAGAGCACCGCTAGGAACCTCCACGATCTGGGTAGAATTAATTACAGCCGCAGAAGCGGCTGCTACTGCAAAGGTGAATATAGCGAAGGCCTTCATTTTGACTATACTAAGTATTAGTGTTTAGGAGCCGAGAAGAGTTCTAAAGCGGCATAACCTTAATCTTATATTATACTCCTGTTAAAGCTTATCTTCAACAATTTCAAATTAACGCTCCCTAGTACTATACTAGTTCGTAGAGGTGATAAATGGAGACTTAGTATCATAGTAAAGTCGCTTACTAATAGCCTGCTATGTTATTACTAGCAAAGTGGCGATTACTAATATATAGTATTATCCGCCGAGCACTTGGTGCTTAGTTAGCAGGCGTGGATTCGAACAAACCCATCGGCAGATATTAAGCCTGCGGTGCCCGAATTAGTCAATATTTTCTATATTAGAAACCCTGGCCCCTTTCGTTCCTCTACACACGATAACTCTCACTTCTTCAACTTCTCTTCAAGCTCTTCAACTCAGCTATCCTCACTCCTCCACATAATATCTTCTACAGATCAGTATTTTTATACAATGAAGTTGACAGCCCTTGCTTTTCTCTTGGCTGGTATCAAGGCTACAGCTGCTTTCAGATGCACTGACGGCTTCTACGGGTCTTGCTCATATGATTCTGCTGGTCAGACGCCACATAATCCTCGTTGCGCTGTCAAGTGCGAATATGTGCCTGGTGCTCTCGTTGTCGAGTG